TTATTATTATTATATATATATATATATATATATATATATATATATATATATATATATATATATATATATATATATATATGAAATTTTTATATTATCCAGATTGTCCTTCCGATCTGGATTACTATTAATCTGGAAACATTTCTTAGTTGTTATCACACCTGATCCAGAATGTTCATCTCAAGCAGTACTGCTGGCTAATGAGAATGTCATCGTAAGCCGAGGGAGTCATTCAGATCTATCTATGCTTGGCTGTCTCTTGTCTTGATCCATCCTTTACATGTATCAGATTTTTAGTGGGCCATTTAAGTGCTCACTTTCTTTATAACATACTCGGTTACTGGCTGTTTAAATGAAACTGATGAAAATACATATGTACCTCTTTCTGAAATCTTTCATGAAATTTCTCCGATAAATGGAATGCATTTGACAATAATTCTGCAATATATTTCCGTACAGTGTTGTTTATGTGTTCCAAAATAATTATTCTAAATTTTGAAAGAAAAATATCCAATTGAAAACGTTAAAGTTTTTTAGAATAAAAAATGAAATAGGAGCCCTTTTTTACTTTCAAACAAATAAACAAGCTGATTTTTCGAGAAGACTTGATTGGATTTAGAATTCGAAATTCGTCTGGATCATCTGATAAATGCTCAAATATCAGATGCATTTGTGTATCATTCAAGAACTGCAGTATCGCTGTGATAACATTCATCTTCATTATCTTTTTTGCATCAATTTTTCACAGCAAAAAAAATGTTTGTCAGGAAAGACTGGAAATTTTAGTGATTGAAGAAAAGAAGTCGTTTTGGATTTGTAACGATAAAAGTGTGGAAAAATGGAAGTAAATTATCTTTTCATAATTCATTGTTAAATTAAATTAGAGTTGTAAGGTGAAGTAAGATTAATAAGACATTTGCTATTCCAGAATAGGATGGCTTAAACTTTGTTTATCCACTCATTATTCGGTGATCCTCTAAACGAAAGGGAAAAAAGTTCTTTATAAAGCTTTCCTTTTATGCATTTCAAAATTGTTTTAAATACCGTTAACCGGATGTGTTATCCCTTTTCATGTATTCAGTATCCGGAAATACAATCCTCAACTGTTATTTTCCGTTTTTGTTAATTTTTATTTTTCTTTACATTCTACATAAATGACGTTTATTCCGCAAAAATAAATGCGTGCGAATGTACTTTCCAAAACTTAATTTTCACTAAATTTCGCTAATTTTAAGACATGAAAAGCAATTAATTTTAATAAATTACAAAAAAAAAAAGATTTCTATTAGCACAGGGAAGCGTAACAACCAATTGCGCTCAGAATTTTGCCCATGAATTTTATTCAAAGCCTCGTGGTTTTAATTGAAAGGATGATATGGTAACTGTTTACACCACAATGTTACACAAAATGATTTATAACAAATTACACATTCATTTTTATTTCGTTTATATCAACGGTCGGAACACGTAAAATTTTTCCAAAATATTTTCTTGAACAGAGCATTGAAAAGGAATGAACAATTTAAATTTAAATGGTAAATTGAATTAAATTCTCTCATCTACAGTACACCAGGAAATATGATCGTAATTTTAAAATTTCTCCACCTATTAGAAACAACCTTCCTTGTAGTCTTTGAATTTTCATTAAATTAAATGAAATATTAAATGAAAAGTTGAAAGTTTTTGCTTAAACAATAATTTACTATTTCATCATAAAAATCTGGAAATTGTCACAAATATTTGAATCAAACATTGTTTATATCAAATAATTAAACCTTATCTTATCTTTCCATTTAAAATAAAATCAACAAACATTGGATTGACAGTTTCAGGCT